CAGTGGCCAGGCGCGGGTCTAGAAGCCACGCCGGGGACCCCGGGGCACCTCTGGTTCTTCCGCACGCATTCGCAGGGGGAGGGGTAGATGCTCTGGTTCTGTTCAAGTCACTAGAGGCTTGGAGTATATGCTGTCACCTGGCTTGCTCCATTCATTTAAATGTTATGGGTTCATGAGTGAATGCACATACATATTTTTTCTAAATATATTTTTGTTGATTTCAGAGAGGGAGAGGGGGAGAGAGAGAAACATCGATGATGGGAATCACGGATCGGCTGCCTCCTGCGTGCGCCACACCGGGGATGAGCCCGCAACCCGAGCCTGTGCCCTGACCGGGAATTAAACCGTGACTTCCCGGTTCTTAGGTTGACATTCAACCACTGAACCACACCGGCCGGTCAGAATGCACATATATTTTGATAACCAAACCCACAGGAGTGCTAACTTTACTGTTGTATTCGTATGCTCCCACTAAACTGGGGCTCTTCGCCGCAATGACTAGGTGTCATTGTTTCCTCAGCTCTTAGCACAATGTTTGTTGGGCAGATGTGTTTTTTGAATGAATGAATGACGTTATTTTTGACTTTTCCATCCATATACTTATGCTTTTTCTCATCTCCAAGCACCCTCTCTTATATATCTTAATTGACTGTCACTGGCTAAAATAGCTAAAACTCTGATCTAGTCTTTGACTATGATGGTCAGTAGTGTTGAAATGAGTACTAGAACTATGGAAGTCACCTAAGGTTTTTCTGCAAAGTTCAGCATAATCCGCTTTATGATGGAATATTTTTATAGAGACATTCTGTATCTATACAAACATATGTATATAAATATCAGTATTAAAAAAATAGAAGTGTGTCCTGGCTGTTGTGGCGCAGTTGAGCGTCTTCTCGTGCACCAAAAGGCCCCAGCCGCCCTATCCAGTTTGGCTCAGTGGCTAGAAGCAGCCGTGGGCAAACTACGGCCCGCGGGCCGGATCCGGCCCATTTGAAATGAATAAAACTAAAAAAAAAAAAAAGACCGTACCCTTTTATGTAATGATGTTTACTTTGAATTTATATTAGTTCACACAAACACTCCATCCATGCTTTTGTTCCGGCCCTCCGGTCCAGTTTAAGAACCCACTGTGGCCCTCGAGTCAAAAAGTTTGCCCACCCCTGGAGAGTGTTAGGTAAGGGCACTCACGTACCGGTTGCTGCTTGGGGGAGCATGCAGGAGGCAACCCATCAGTGTGTCTCTGTCTCTTCCCCTCCTTTCCACTCTCTCTAAAAATCAATAGTAAAATATCCTCAGGTGAGGATTAACAAGCAAACAAACAAACACAAAAGGCTGCCAGTTAGATTCCTGGTCAGGGCATATGGGTGGGCTTGATCCCCAGTGGGGGGCAGGCAGGAGGCAGTCCATCTACGTTTCCCCTCCCTTAAGCCAATAAAAACATAATTTAAAAAAAGAAGTGGAACATACTGTACACATTGTTCTGTTCCTTTTATTTTTTAAATTTAGTATATCTTGGAGATCATTCCATGTCAATAAGTATAGAATTGTTTCATGTTTTAAATGGTTAAAATAGAATTTCATTCTTTGCATGTAACCATAATTTATGAAAAGTAAGATTTAATGAACATTATCATAATGACATATAAGATCTACTGAGTGTCTATTCTGTGTCATGCAATAAGCGGAGTGCTTTTTACATACATTATCTCATCTAATTCTTATTATCCTCAATTTGGGGTTGATGAATCCAAGGTTGCAAAAGTTATAAGGCTAATTAAATGACAACTTGTGGGTTCAAGTAAAGGCTATATAGTAAAGGCTATACTTGGACTTTCATTTGACCCTAAAGGCTATGCTATTATCCTGTACTCATATTACCTCCTATAATGAAAATTTAACTGAGTGTGGAGATTTTATGAAAATGCAGTTATGAAGATGTTCCCGTCCCCTTTTTAAACCAAAGGAAAATTTAAGTTGAAATGTTATTTAGTATTTATACTCTCACTTACAATTTTTCCATGCATTTTTCAATTATTTTGGTTATTTACTGTTTGTTTTATCTACATTTTTTTCATCTTTTCAAGTCTACTATTGACTACAGTGTAATGTGAGGGGAGCATTGCTTTAAAGTTAAAACAAGGACATAGATAAAGGAAAAGAAAGAGGGAAAAGAAAGAGCATGGTTTTTATGCCTCATCTCAGCTTTAATGCCAGCTGTGGCTCCAAGCCATGTTGGAAACTGGAACTATAAACACTTTAAGGGTCCTAAAATGCTCTTCATCCAAATCACCTACTTGATTGCCTAACTTTAAACTTTGTAGGAAATAATAGCATTATGAATTCCATTTTGGGATGTGTGTATTTCCATTACTAAGATTATTAAAAATTTGAAAGTGAAATTCCTAATTATATAATTTAAATATATATGCTTAATTTTGATTTCACTATCTGTTTTCTTTTAGGTCTAAATGTATCTCCATTTAATGTAACAGTTATTCAACCTCCAGGTAGTTAAGGAGAAGCATTTATTAGGGATTAGAGTAGCCATAGTGTGGGTATTAAATGCTGAAAAATTGCTAATTCAATTGAAGCCTGGTATTAAGTGTGTGTCTGTGAGAAAGTGAATGAAATTTAGTTCCAGCCCTTGAATAGCTCATAGTCTTGGAAGGGAGATGCAATTACAATAGTTAACATTTATTGAGCCCTTTCTTTGTTCCAGGCAGTCTGCTAGCAGTTTCTTTCTCTCATATTTTAATCTTCATAAAAACTAGATATATAAAATTATCTCTATTTCATAAATGAATAATCAGGTATGGCTACCCAACTGGGATTTGAACCCAGGCATTCTTGCTTCAGAATCACAAACTTAACCACTATTAGCTTCTTACCATAACAATGAGTAATAATAACAGCATGAGCTAGGCTCACCTGAAGTGTTGTAGGACTACAGAGAAAGCAGCTCTGCTTGTAGCTGGGAGGGTTTCTTAAGCAAAAGCTCAGTGGGATGCTGTTGGAGTTTTCTTAAGAAATGAGGTGATCAGATCGGTTTTAGCATGATTAGTCTTGTGGCAGCCTGAAAAACAGATCAGGATGTGGCTGGGGGAATACTGGAAGCTGGGTGATGATTTAAGGAAGCTGTAGTAGTACAGGGGAGAGCCGTATAGGGCAGTGATGGCGAACTTTTGAGCTCGGCGTGTCAGCATTTTGAAAAACCCTAACTTAACTCTGGTGCCGTGTCACATATAGAAATTTTTTGATATTTGCAACCATAGTAAAACAAAGACTTATATTTTTTGATATTTATTTTATATATTTAAATGCCATTTAACAAAGAAAAATCAACCAAAAAAATGAGTTTGCGTGTCACCTCTGACACGCGTGTCATAGGTTCGCCATCACTGGTATAGGGTCTGAATTACTGCCTTGGTGAAGATGGAGATCAGGGCAGCAAGGGGAGAATTCGGAGACACTGCTTTGGTAGAATTGACAGACTTTGGGGGAAACAAGGAAAGACAGGAATTAAGATCAACTTAGGTTTCCTAGTTTGGGTAATTTAATGGCATTGCCATCTATCTGTCAAGGAAAACAAAACAAACAAAAAGTAAGGCCAGAGGCATTTTAGGGGGGAGATCCCATTTTGAATTTGTTAAATTTGAGGTGTTTATGATGATTGCAGGTAAATAAGTCTAATTAGTTCTAGGAAATGTGGATAGCTTAGATTTAAAAAAGGAAATTTGAGATGTTGAGAGCCATGAGAATGGAAGAACTAGCCTGGGAATATTTGTAGAGTGAAAGGAGAAAAGGCAGAGGAGGAGTCCTTGTGAAAACGGACATGAGCAGAAGAATGTGACCTTGTCGAAGAGCAGTTAGGTCATAGGAAAACTGGGAAAGAAGCCAAGGAGGAAAATGTTCCTAGGTTTTCTGAAACTGGAAATTAGCATATCTGAAATTCTATTTTATTTAAGCTAGTCTTAGAATTTAAGTTTACTTCATAGAGGCAAGATAATATGAGAGTCACATCTTGTGATTTGTTATTATTATAGTGTCCTGTATCTCAATGTTATATTTTTAGATGTCTCTATTAAATGATGATTCATATTTACCTTTAGCTCCACAATCTCTTCTTTAGTACATGGACATAGCTGATTTCGATTAAGTATTAATATGAGTAGAACTAACCCCATCTCAGCCATGTGGGTTGGTATAATTTATTCATAGTATAGATTAGTGGTTTAGAAAATGGGCTTTGGATGTTTATTACCCAATAAGATGAAGACCCTTATGTGAAACTTCATGTTTCTTGGATCTCCATTAACATTTATTATTATACTAGAGGCCCGGTGCACGAATTTGTGCACGGGTGGGGTCCCTTGGCCTGGCCAGTGATGAGAGTTGATAGGGGCGATTAGTGCCGGCTGGCTGGGGGTGGTGGGGGAGGGGAGACTGCAGGAGGTTGGCCAGGAGGTTGGCTGTGGGACCGCACTTACCACCAGGGGGCAGCTCCTGCATTGAGCATCTGTCCTGGTCGTCAGTGTGCGTCATAGCATCACTTAGGCTTTTATATATATAGATTATAAAAGATTGTTCATGCCTAACTTCATGAGACTCACTTCATGATAACAGTTTCCTTCAATTAATTTTTTAAAAAGCATAGCACAACTTTT